GTCAGAATAAGCATGTTGTTTGAATTTTTACGTAAATATTGTGTTACACTGAATGACAATGTAACATTATTTCAACCAAATTTGAACATTTTATTCTCCAAAAACGTATTTGAAACCTTAAAAGTAGACACTTGCATTTAATGTGCTTTCTATGGACATAAAATCACTTTTGTAAATTTCTTTTGATGCGGACATCTTAACGTCTTTGACCCATGAACATCTTAGGATTTATATTAAGAACTTTAACAATTAAGAATAAATTTTTCTTAAGGTTTCTGTGAATCCGTCTAGTAATGCGTGAATGATACGTGAAGCTGTTGATGCTGAATGCAGTTTCTCTTTTCCAGAGGAAGTTCAACATCACACTGGACCACAAATCCCACATTTTTCAGAATCTCAATGGAGCCATAGGTTCGCTGAAGTCCTGCTGTAATTCTGTCTGTTTAGTGTGATTTTTGTCTGATGGATGTGTGTTTTTCCAGAGGAAGTGGTCCTGAAGTTTGAGAAATCCAGAGTCAGAGCTCGGAATGTGGCCTATGACACACTTCCTGTCGTTATCCATGGCAACGGCCCGACTAAGGTAAACACAAGCATTCTTTTGCATTCTTTTGCTCTGTTACAGTTGCGCCCTCATGTAACGTACAGACATTCACATCAGACATTTGCTTTACTGCTAATCACACGGTGATATGCATATACACCAATGAAAAGATTATTATTATTTTTTTTAATGAAAAGAAATTAGTACATTTATTCAGCAGTGATGCTTTAAATTGATCAAAAGTGTTAGTAAAGACATTTATAATAATACAAAAGATTTCTATTTCAAATAAATGCTGTTCTTTTGAACTTTCTATTCATCTGTGAATCCTGAAAAATAAAATGCATCACAGTTTCCACAAAAATATTGTGCAGCACAACTGTTTTCAACATTGATAATAATCAGAAATGTTTCTCGAGCAGCAAATCACCATATTGCTATATTTAATTATTATTCATTAAAATTACATGGACAGGAACGACAGAATCTGTGGTGTTGAATCTGCATGATCTTTAATTTCTTTAGTGTATTTAATTAAAAATGTAATATTAATAATAAGTAATTATAATAATTTATAAATATAATAAAATACAAATATATATATAAAAATGAAAATGTTAAATATGTAATAAGTAAATATATAAAAGATTAATTATAAAAACAAATTTTTTTATTTTTTAGTATTTTATCGCACTTTTCATTTGTCACATATTTAAATAATTTAATTGTCCAAACATAGATTTTAACAAATGATTATTTAAAGCTTTTAAATTTTTTGGCTGTGAAAATATCTTCGTTTAATAGGCATCACAATATTATGAGTAAATCAACTTGAATTTGGGGCAGGACTAACCGTTTATCTGACCAGTGTTCAGGAAACCTGTTTGAAAACAGTCATTATTTGTGTGATTTGCTTTGGATCGCTGGTAACATATGAACTATTTGTTGTTTTGTGTGTGTGTGTGTGTAGCTCCAGCTGAATTATCTGGGTAACTATGTGCCGTCGGCGTGGACGTATGAACACGGCTGTGGAATCTGTGACGATGATTTGCTGGACCTGAGCGGTGTATCTGTGAGCGGCCGACACGAACACAATCTGACAAACCTGTGCTGTGTGCTTCAGGAGGATGAGATTGTATGTTTGTGTGTGTTTGTGTAGGACGAGGAGATGCCGCTGGTGCATGTCGCTGTGTTTATCGAGCAGCCGACGCCGTTTCTGGAAGAATTTCTGGAGAGACTCGCAACTTTGATCTACCCACACACACGCATACGACTCTTCATACACAACAACGTACGTACATGTTAAATTATTAAATTCAATTATTGAATTGTTAAATTTCATTTTCATACACAACTTATATGCACAACGATAATAACGTACGTTAAATTATTAAATTCAATTATTTAATTATTTCATTTTCATACACAACGACAACAACGTACATGTTAAATTATTAAATTATTGAATTGTTATATTTCATTTTCATACACAACGACAACAACGTACATGTTAAATTATTAAATTATTGAATTGTTATATTTCATTTTCATACACAACGACAACAACGTACATGTTAAATTATTAAATTATTGAATTGTTATATTTCATTTTCATACACAACGACAACAACGTACATGTTAAATTATTAAATTATTGAATTGTTATATTTCATTTTCATACACAACGACAACAACGTACATGTTAAATTATTAAATTATTGAATTGTTATCTTTCATTTTCATACACGACGACAACAACGTACATGTTAAGTTATTAAATTAAATTATTTCATTATTTCATTTTCATACACAACGACAACAAAGTACATGTTAAGTTATTAAATTCAATTATTGAATTGTTATATTTCATTTTCATACACAACGACAACAGCGTACGCTAAATTATTAAATTCACTTATTGAATTGTTATATTTCATTTTCATACACAACGACAACAGCGTACGCTAAATTATTAAATTCACTTATTGAATTGTTATATTTAATTTTCATACACAACTTATATGCACAACGATAACAACGTACGTTAAATTATTAAATTCAATTATTGAATTGTTACATTTCATTTTCATACACAACTTATATACACAACGACAACAACATGTTAAATTATTAAATTCAATTATTGAATTGTTATATTTCATTTTCATACACAACGATAACAATCTACGTTAAATTATTAAATTCAATTATTGAATTATTTCATTTTCATACACAACTTATATACACAACGACAACAACAT